GATGTCACCTAATAAGCAAGAAAAACCCTTTGAAGTGTGTGTGTGGGGGGATGCCAACCAACCTATGAAATAAACTGACCCCTCAGATACAAACTTTCAAAGGTGCACAAAAGGTTCCATAAATATAACTAACATGCTCTTTTATCAGTGCAAAGTTCTGCTGTGCACAATTTGAGCTGGGGAAAAAGGAATCTTATTTATTCCATTTATTCCATTCAGCTGATGAAACATGGGTCAAGATAGACTCCAGTCAAGTCAAGTGGCGCTTTTGTTGATTGGCTCAGAAATCCTGTACCTTTATATTTCTTGCTTGATTAGGCTCTTAATACATAGCCAGGTCCACCTCCTTCTACACTTCACTTCTTCCTCAGGCACTTTCTGCCCTTTTACATCATTTTCTACTGGGGGTCTCCGTATCGCTCATTATTGCCACTCCCAACTCCATCTCAAAGGACAAATGGTTTTGTTGCTTCTGAATAGCAAAAGAACATTCTATGCCGTTTCTTTGCATTCTGTCACACACATAGTCACAAACATATAATATGTGTCAAGGCACGTCCTTTGGGGAAAAGACTAAGGGGACTATGAATTAAAGCTCTCTTAGCTAGATGGTGAAGCAGATTTCTAGCTGACAATAAATGATTTTGAAGAAACTATAAATAGATAAAAGTGATTATTCAGAGAAGAGGATAATATGTGCTTTCTCCTTCCTATCTGGAAGTAAGATATTGTTACTCATTTATAACCTGCTATGCTCTTCATAGCTTCGAATTCAATTTGGATAAAAAGAGTAAATCGGGGTGCACTGCAATCTGTTTAAAACTAAGTGGGAGTCAAAATATGTGAATACAGATGGAACCACAACACATGGGAATTGAAGCTTTGGGCGTGTATTTTTTCTTACATATGATATAATTAACTTTATAATGATTTCCAACACACTCTGGAGCATTTTCCTTCTAAAGAAGAAACAAAGATGGAAGGAATGGTGTCAGAAAGCAAGCCAGCACTGTAATTGACAGGCCCATCTGCCAACAGAGTAAAGCCTGGGGTGCCCAGCACAAAATCTGATGGGCCTACTTGTCTGAAATTTGGCAAGCTTCATTCTCTCAGAAGAGGCTAGCGTACCTGCAAATTTAATCCAGTTGTGTTTAAAAACTGTAAAAGGTAGAGGCACATTGCAATTTCCCCATTTAAATCAATGGCCTGCTCCTGTTATGGCTTAAGTTCTCCAGATCAGAGTGATTTATCCAGCAGAAGAACAATGTGCATTTAGAGAGATGGTTCATTAGATTCATAGCCATTGGCTTCAATGATTGATGCAGCTAAGTTGGATAAAATATCTTTGTTTTGGCATCTTTAGTTTAGGGGAAGGCCTTTGGCTCAGTTAACTGGCATCATGCCTTGCATGCAAAAGGTGTCAGGTTGACTCCCCAGTGTCACCATGTAGGGCTGGGAAAGACTATTTCCTGAAACCCTGGAGAGCTGCTGTCAGTCAGTGTTGACAGTATTGAGTTAGATGGATTGAGTTGGTGTAAGGCAACTTTGCATGATCTGGACGAAGTTGGTGACACTTACCGTAATTCCCATTGAAATAATTGATAAAACTTAGTCACGACTTAGCTTAAATCTCACTGATTTTAATACGAAAGAAGCACAACTAGCTTAGCCTTGATCCACCCCACTGCATTTAATTCAAGCTTGAAATAAAATGAAAAGAGGATGGACACAAATATTTTCCTCCTACACACCAGTCAGCTGAAAGACATTAAAGTCCTTTACCCTCATTCAGTCAAATGAGGACAGCCGCCAATGAAAGAGGTAAACAGCTGCTGACTGCTAGCTATTTTCTAGTCCTTTGCTCCAAAACGAAATCTCTAGAGTTTAGATATCATTAATATGCAAAGCCTTGATATTCTAACCAGTTAGGAATTTCTGAACAAAAAGTTTGTTCACTGTGTTAACCAGAAGCAACAGGGTTACTCCTATATCTGCTTTTCATTGAGACAAAGACATGTTCTTCTGCCAAGCCACAGGGTTGGCTGTTGTTGAGTTATATCCAGGAAGAGTTCCAGTCCTGCAAACGACTTTTCCAGATGACTGACTGAAAGCTTGGCATTTCACAAAAAAAGAAGCTAACGTGAAGCTTTCTTGGAAGCTACACTCTTACCAGGTGTAATGAAGAATATTTAGCACTGCAAGTGTCAAACCTGTATGAAATGGTAGTTCAACATAAAACAACACTTCAGCCTCTTTGCCAACCACTATAGCCTGATTCTTTCAGAAACATACTTTAGGGTCATATAAGCATGTAGGTCAGGGGTAAAGAACCTGTGGAACCCCAGATGCAGCTGGACTACAACACCCATGATTCCCGACCATTGGCCATGCTGGCTGGGGCTGACAGGAGTTGCAGTCCAGCAAAAGCTGGAAGGTCACAAGTTTCCCACCCCTGCTGTAAGTTTATCTCACTTCCAGGGCTTTCTTCAGCCAGAACTTGCCTGAACTCAGTTCCAGCACCTCTCAGGTTGGCGCCATTGCCATTATAAGCAAGCAAGGGAGGTGTTCCTGGTGAGTTCTGGCACCTCTTTTTCTAGAAAAATAGCACTGCTCACTTCTGAATAGGGCATTCACATTAGCAAAACATTTGAAGGGTCAGTCGCAACTGCTGAATCTGAAACAGACTACAATAAGGTCTTACTTTTACTGTGTACCTGTATCCAGAGGTTATCCTATGTTCTGCGGCACTTCTTAAGCCTTCCACCTGGTCTGTCCTAACCACCAACGTCAACCCACAGCACCCTTCAAGACAGCTGTCCACCACCCAGCCCAGCACAATCCCTTCTGTATTGCATATTGCATGAATTTATCTCCATACAATTTGCTTTTCATCATATAACTTTCACTTTTCTCATATGTTGCTCCATTAATCACTTTTTCTTCAAGGGGTGCAATAACTATAGACTAGACTTTCACAAAGCTTTATCTTAATTGACTTTTTCACCAGTAAAATACATGAAGTGGATTTGGAATATGGACACACAACATTTTTACATGAATTTGTCCTCTGGCACGAAGCCTTGAAGCTGAATTTCCTAGGTCAGATGTTCCTCCCGGGTAAATGACAGTGCTATGTTCGCCAGCCAGTTGCCTCAAGCCATCAGAGCACTATCATGTGCATAGATTTATTTGGGTTTCTGTCAGTTATAAATTTTGCTGAGCTGGATGTTCTGAGGCACAGAAGAAACTTCAAAGGAAATAATTTCTGAAATTATCAATACAGCTGGTCCTACACACTTGGAATTTATATTTTGACATCATGGAGGTCAAGAGTCCTTTGCAAGTTTAATTTTATATAGCAGGTAACCTCCTTGGTGATGATGACACTCCATATCCTTGTCTGATACACACCCTCTGATACACACTTCTCTCACCAACATCAACTCACAGAAGCACTATTCCATAGCTCCCATTGCTCCCCATCCCCCCACCATAACGGGGGGGGGGGAGAGAATTAGGAATAAGCTAAAGGAAGAAATATCCTGGTATTTCCCCCTGCAATATAATCCCATATTTCCAAAAGGCATTGCTGCACAATAAATGCACCTGTACTTCTTCTCATTTATCAAGCACTGATAAAAACATGCTCAAGTTGTCACAGCAGCACATATTTCTATACCTCTTGAAGCTCAATGTTTTATTTACTTATTATTTTCACACTTATATCACACCTTTCCTCCAAGGAGCTCCAAGCTGTGCATACAAGTCCCCCTCTTCCCATTTTATCCCCACAACAACTCTGAGGTAAATTAGGCTGAGAGACTGAGGCACATTTTTGACTGATTATGCAGAAAGGATATAACCTAAGGTAGGCGTATAGAGGGGGAAATTTCAAAAAGGAAACTAAAACAGAGTAGGACAGAACAGATGACCTGCAATGGCCATACCTTCCCCAAGCAGGTGTGAATACATAAAACTGCCTCATGTCGAAACAGATCATGTTGGTCCAGTATTGTGTACTCTGAGTGGGAGTTGTTCGCCAGCGTCTTAGTCTTTCCCAGTTGGGCCACCTAAGATCTTTTCAACTAGCGATACAGAAGATTGAATCTTGAAACATATGCATGTGCCCAGCTTTGAAACACTCTCCGATTACTAGCATAAGCAAAGCTGACTGCGAGATCCATCTGGCATGCAGACTGCTCACAGACTCAATTCAGCACACACTGGCATGGCTTGAGAGTAAAGCAGAGCAAATTTCAGGCAGTGCTCTGGGAATATATAGAAGTCCGAAGTTGCTCCAGCAAGGAACAAGCTGAAACTGAGTCCTTCTGCAGCAGTAGGACTAATTGCTAGCAGTCCAATTGCCAGCAGCATCTGTGCTGCAAGATGCTGCTTTACTGAAAGGGGCCAGCCCTTCTCCAGTTATCTCCTATTCTTGTAGAGGAGCCTCAGGTCTTCCTGAGCCTTCTGCAGTGGAGTCCTCTTGAGTTAGAGGAAGGCAATGCCATAACCTTGGGGGGGGGGTACAGCCATGCAGTTTCATCTGGTAACAGTGGTTCTGGAGCTGGCCCTGCGTGCCCTTCTGTTTCAGGTTCGGAGTCTTTGCCTCCATCACCCCATGATGGTCCCTGGTCCCTGACACTATGGAAGCTAGTGTTCGTTTGCTGCTTGATTTGCCTTTGGAAAGGTTTTGCAAAATGCCACAACTATCCATTGAAACTGCCCCTAAAATCAATCATGCTGAATTTCTACAAGCATGGGGCTTCAATGTGTCTTTAAAACCACTCGTGCTCAAGCAATCAAGTTTCAACTTATTCCCCTTTGACCCTTCTATCCACTTGAAGTTGTCTAGGGTTGAAAAACTTTTGTAGTATTCTTGTTGGTGCACAGCCCTGAGGCAAGATTAAAAAGCTGAACTAAGAAAATGGGCTGCTATTCCCTCTGCTTTGTTCCACACCGGGGCCTGATTTTCTTTGTACACAATGAAAGACTTCACTTACGTTCTTGGCAATTTCCTCTTTGAAAGGATGCATGAAACAGCGACTGCAATTTCAATCAACAGGAAAGCTAATCCAATCCCTAGCCCAGTCCAAGTATCTGCAGAGACAAGCAAGGGAATGAGATAAATAAGCAAAGAAACGTATCCACAAAATTGCCTGAAGATATTTTATTGATTTGACTGGACTCACCATTTTGCAGGGAACCAGAAGATGGAGTCGGAGGAGACTTAGCCTTCATGTGGCAACGGTTTCCCTTCCACTCATTTTCACATCTGGTGATGGCGGGTGGGGAGGATTGTTGTCAGACATGAGAAAATGAATATTAAATCTGCACCATAACATATAATGTGGCACAAACAGAGCCTACATGAGGAATAAGTTCAATAATGCATCTGAAATGAGCAATACATAATCTGTCAATGTCCATGTGAATGTGTAAATGTGTGAATAAGATTGCTTGGAATCTAGCTCAGAATTAACATGTACATCTTAAATGTCCAGAACAAACTGGAAGGGCAGGAAAGCAGAACACGATAGCATTCATCACCATAGCCAGTTCCATGGATCTATTTGGGAGCTAATGGAGAAAATATTTTGTTTACTAATTAAAAGAACAAATCTTCTTTCTCCTTTTGTTTTACTTCCCCTTCCAGGAAACATTAGGGTTTTAATTTTTTTCCCCCAAATTGCCACTCCAAAATTAGGCAGCAAATTATACCAATTTAAACATCCCACAGTTTATACCTACGTATTTGCATCTTCCCTTACTGCTGTGCTGACAGTGTCCTGGCAACCTGTGCTAATACAAACACCCTGTGTTGTGATTTCACACTACAGTGGTACCTCTACTTATGAACTGAATTCGTTCTGGAGGTCCGTTCTTAACCTGAAACTGTTCTTAACTAGAGGCGTGCTTTTGCTAATGGGGTCTCTTGCTGCTGCTGCACCGCCGGCACACGATTTTCGTTCTCATCCTGGTTCTCAACTCGAGGTAACTCTTCCAGGTTAGCAGAGTTTGTAAACCTGAAGGGTTTGTAACCTGAGGTGTTTGTAACTCAAGGTACCACAGTATTAGTAAAGAGGCTCTAGTCCTACAGATGCTTTTCAGTCTTGACTGAAAAGTAACCAACCACCATATTGCAAGCCCCAAAGTCTCTTATTTGGGGCATTTCTGGTTGTAATGCTCACTTTTCTCTAAATCCACTGCCTTTTTAAAGCTAGGTAAGATGAAGATGCTCTTAACTGTTTACTCCTTTGACCAAAGATATGGTACTCTGCTCGTTTTGGATGGGGTTGCATGCCCCAAAGTACTTAGCTTGAGGGTGCTTTTAGACCTGGCCCTTATCTTGGATGTTTAAGGAGTATACATGTGACACAAGAAAGTCTTTTACTAACTGAAGCTGGTGCATCAATAATGGCCCCCTTTGGACAGAAACAGCTTGGTCACAGTAGTCCATGCCCTACTAACATCCAGTTCAGACTACTGCAATATTTTGCATGTGAAGCTGCCTTTGAAGACTACTCAGAAACTTTGGTTAATGTAGAACGTGGAGCAAGCTTTCCTGTCTGGTACTAGCATCAGGGAATATATCTTTCCAATACTGAAAGAATTTCATAGGCTTCCTATTTGTTTCCAGGCATAATTCAAAGCACTGATACCAACCTCATAGCCTTTCGTACAGTAGCCTGGCTTTGCATATCAGAAAAACTGCCAAATGATGTTGCCTGGGTATTAAGGTCTTCAGAAATAAACTTCGTGATGACCAAGTGGTAAGAGGACAACAGATCTTTTAAAATAAAAAAATGGAAGACAATTCCACTATTATGTATCTAGTCTTAAAGGAAAGAGTGAGTTTCTTTGAATGTGGAAAAAATGTTGATGCACAGATTAAAGATGAAGCAAGCAGAAGACAAAAAGCTGCAGTTCTGGAAAGCTGGAAACTGGAAAGGGAAGCAATGAAATTAGATCTCAGGAGATTGGGTGGAACAGTGATGAAATCAGGGAAAGAATCAGAGCAAGAGAGGAGAGAGAGAGAGAGAGAGAGAGAGAGAGGGAAGATGTAGAGGGGAAAACAACAATGAGAAAATGAGAAAACACAGATCTGTGATTTTTTTTTTAGCCCTGTGATTACTCTTCTAGATAACCATTTCAAATAGGCAGCAAACCTGCAATTGTCAGCCTTGTATTTGCAAAATAACAAAGCAGCAACTTGATATATGAGGTGTTGCACAATATTCAGGGCTGCATGACACCACTGTCTGTGCTTTTAGATGATAGGCATGAGGGCCCAGTTAAGCCAAATACAAATAATATGGTTTTACACTCCATACTTTGCAAGAAAAATTTCAGAGGCACTACACATGTTCCACTTCACTTGGAGGAGAGCTCACTGGAGACTTAGGACTCCATTGCTGTATTTGGCCAATTTACAGGTAGTGCATCAGTGGAAGCAAGCAGTAAATATACAGGTTCTCATCAGACTTCCATAGAAAGGCACCTTGCACCCCTAAGAGGCACTCAGTCACCAGCTAATTCTCATCTCTCTCTCTGTCCCTCTTTGTTTCAAAATGCTGCATTTGATCCTTCACCCACCCACCCACCCACCCCAGCCTCTCATCATCTTCCAAGTCCTGGCAGTCTTCACAAAAATTTGTCAGCATTTTAGTGTCAATTTCTTCTAATATACCCATGACTGGCTGCAAAACAATTGCACTGCAAAATTCAGAGAGGCGTGAATTTGAAAGGATGGCTGTGTTTGGGTCCACCTCTTGTTTTGGGAAGGGTGAATTAAGTAAGTTCACTTTTAAATGTGAACGGAATAATATTTCTTCCCCTTCTCTGTGCTCACCTGAATTCTTTGAGCTGTGAGAAGTTCCAGGGGTACCTTCTCGGGTTTGGTTTTCTTTGGAAGGAGGTAACTGGAGATTTTTGGTTTCTTTACAACAAATAAATAGGTTGAGCATAGGAAGAGGTGAATCTTGAAGGCTCCAACAGATTGCCAAATCCACCACTCCCACATCAAAACTCTAGGGTGACAAGTCAGTTGCAAGGAGATTACAGATCCCCAAGAAACCCAGCTTTGTTCTCAGTCTGCCTCAAAAATGCCATATTCTCCATTTGGTTCTTCTAACATTCAGACCCAGCTTGCCCCTTCCTGCAGGTCCTTGGGTGGGGGTGTGGTAAGGAGGAAAGGCATGTATCTTCCAAAACAATCTCTGTCTACTTCCTAGTAATTCAGGAAGATATAGCAAATAGTTCCCATGGCAACAAATAATTCCCCAACAAATAGTGTCTGGCCACACTTGTCCAACCAACTTGACCACTTCAGCAGTCTACCTCTTGTCTAAATCACCCACTCTTACAATCATAGAAGCACATTATCCTGAAGGTCATCCAGCCCAATCCCAAGCTTGCAACACAAAATTTTACCTATGAATTCTTATGCCTCAATACAACGGGCCCCGGTTGAAACCTACACTTGCCATGAACTCACTAAGTTAGCATTATACAAGTCACTCTCTCTAAGCCTCATTTGCACATCTGCAATTTGGGGATAACAACGATGACCTATCTTACAAGGTTAGCCTCTCTTATCACAGTGCTTTTTATCTTGTTGATGCCACAGACTAAGACAGCTACTCTCCTTGGGAGCATTTGTATGCAGAAACAGTACTCAAGCAATGGATGGTACATGCAGCCCTCAGCAGTTTGGTCAACAACAACAACTACTGCTCTTCTCTTGCCATACTTGGGCTACACTGAACAACTCTTTAAAATCAGGAAGGAAAATGAGTTGTTTTCTTTCACCCAAGTTACTGCTATTGGGCTCAGTGTCTTGAGTAGCAGCCTGATGGTACACAAATAATATTGTGGAATAAAGATCTTCCAGGGAAGTGATCAAATATGTACCCTCTGTGGAATTTGTTCATTCTACAGTAGCAAGGAAAGGAAAGGTTCCTTAATAAGCCGCCTTGCCAGAGTCCAATTTATTTTGAAGACAGGCAATTGTCAGAAGTTCCCAAGGAAATCCCCTAGGCCACAAAGCTCTAAAATTTCCACATTAAATACAAGCAATTAATTTGCCTGGACTAATTGCTTCATGACTAACTAGCGGCAGCACATTTTTGTAACTGTGCTTTATCATAAAAATGCCATCCATTTGCAATCTGAAGCCCAAAGATAACCATTTCTATACACAAAATATTTCAATATCCCGACAAGGAACATCCTTTTCCTGACAACATATGGCAGATGAGAGATAAACCAGCCAACAGGGTTCCTCCATTATCGTACGTATCCTTATATCCAACTGCCAAAACGTTTTCTCCAATCTGCTTGGGAGGCACAGTCACACTGTAGGAAGAATGGTTGACTCATCCTGTTTGGACTCTACCCACAGGGCTGGATTTATAATGGTGCAATTTGGCAGAATGTTGGAAAGTGGGAGCAGGTTTCATTTTTTTCTTCACTAAGCAATCAGTAATCCCTGGGGTCCTAAAGAGTTATGGACCCCACTCCATGCACTTTTCTGACTGTATGTTTTTCAATACCATTTTACATGAAAAGCTAAAATAGTAAAAACATTATTTTTAAAAAACCATTTAATAATGAAAGCAGTCCACAATGACCCACCCCCAGTGGCTACAGGCCAAGGGAGTAAACTCAGTTGAACACAAGGGGGATTAATATATCTAAAACACACAATAATCAGGCCAGATTAAGATTGGTTGAAACCTTGGATCTGCACTCATCTGAGGGGTGAGGAGAGAAAAATATGGCTATTTATAGTATCAAGATACACCACTCTGGTTAACGGAACCAAAATTTTACGCCTAGGATACAAGCAGTAAATTTTCTTTTGCAGCCATTTTGTGTCTCCTATACTTTCACAACAGGTATGTAATGTAGGCTGGCTGAGTGTTGGTGACTGGCCTGATGAGAAAAATAATTCCTGTTACTTCTCAAGAAGCTACCATGGGGGAAGGGAAGGGGGAAGGAGAAGAAAAGATCCCATTGGATTATTTTTAGCTCAACACCCTCCCTTCAACAGAGAGAAGAAGAAAAAGGACTGTAAAAGCTATTGTTGCCTTCACTACCTTGACCCTTTATTGGATTTTGTGTATTTTGGGCAGACCACACCTGGAATTCTATGGTCCAGTTCTGGACAACACAATTTAAGATGGATATAGACAGGCTGAAACATGTGCAGAGCAGGGCAACTAAAATGATGAAGGGTCTGGAAACCAAGCCTTATGAGAAACGGTTGAGGGA